CCCTTCGAACTCCTCATATTCTGTGATTCTGAGAAGAGTAGAATCTGATACAAAAGCAATTCAGACAATACCTGGAGTACTGTATTCAGCTGTGGGGTTCCCCCACATCTGAAGGACATGGACCTGTTAAGAGCGAGGCCAGGAGGGCCACGATGATGACTGCAGGGCTGGAGCACCTCCTCAATAAAGACAAGCTGAGACAGGTGGGGTTGTTCAGCCTGGAGAAGGCTCTGGGGGGAACTGTACAGCAGCCTGACTCCTTCTTAAAGGAGTCCTACAGGAAAGATGGGGAGAGACTCTATCAGAGAGTGTAGTGATAGCATGAGGGGTGATTAGATATATGGAAGTAATTACTTACTGTGAGGGTGGTGAGATACTGAAACAGGTTGCCCCGAGAGGCTGTGGATGCCCTCTTCCTGGCAGTGTTCAAGGCCAGGTCAGATGGGGCTTTGAGCAGCCTGGTCTAGTGGCAGGTGTTCCTGCTCCTGGCAGGGGGGTTGGAACTGGATCATCTTTAAGGTCTCTTCCAACCCAAACCCTTCTATGGTGTGATGATGATTTTAAATTGGTACAACCAACTTTCCATTTTTGCAGGTTGGTAACAGTAGGAACCTCTTTAATAATTGACCGTGTGTTTTTTGGTGAGGTAAGTTGTTTTAAACTTGACTTACAGAAAAAGGTTGGGGTTTAGCATTTTAAGATGGTTGGATGTTTCAGACATTTCTAACTTCTGTTTTTTCTTTGACTGTGTCTGGCCTGTAATCTCTAAATATATCCTAAGCCATAAATCCTTAAATACAGACTTCTCAGTTACTTTAAATGACAGACTGTTGCTTAACATCACTATGCTCAGCTCTCAATAAATCAATAGTTATCAACAAACTACAAAACTTAACACACTTCCGTGTTTAACTGCTAAATAGAGCAAGTCTGTGATGAGTCTTAGTAGAAAAATACCTAAGTATGAAGGGCTGATGGCTTTAAACTGGAAGGGGATAGATTTAGATTAGACATTAGGAAGAAATTCTTCACTGTGAGGGTGGTGAGACACTGGCCCAGGTTGCCCAGGGAAGCTGTGGATGCCCCCTCCCTGGCAGTGTTCAAGGCCAGGTTGGACGGGGCCTTTGGGCAACCTGGGCTGGTGGGAGGTGTCCCTGCCCATGGCAGGGGTTGGACTGGGTGAGCTTTAAGGTCCCTTCCAACCTGAACCATTCTGTGATTCTATGAATGAAAATGCTGTATCATTTAAGGCCAGTGATGACTACGTAATTCAATTTAGCTGTTGGTTTTAACTTTGGCTTTGTATTTAACTGTCTCTCCCCACCCACTCCCCTCCAAAATCTCCCAGTGGGTACTGGTTCAGCTGAACTTCCTGAAATTCAACGTGCTGCAGAATCTGGGAACATTTTATGGATCTCATCCTTGGCATTGGTACTTCACTCAGGGACTACCAGTCGTCTTGGGTACCCATCTGCCTTTCTTTATTCATGGCTGTGTGCTCGCACCAAAAAGGTTTCGCATCTTTCTAATAGCGGTGATATGGACAGTGTTGGTATACAGGTAATCTCTCTTCAGTGTAACCACTCTATTTCACTGGTTATGTTCTTTTCAAAGCTCATGTCCTGTCTAGAACAAAAAAGCCCAGTATTCAGGTTAAGTGACAGAAAACTTTTAAACTACTCAAATAATCCAAGAAATGCAGTCAATTATACAAGTTTCTAGAATTTTATGTAATATTACCTGTAGAGGTATTTTTAGATGTATTTTTAGAACTGATTAGACCTGAAGAATAAAACAATTCAGCATGAAATTCAGTAGAAAATGAAGACCACCACCACTCAATCGCCTACCAGGTGTTTAAGCAACAGCAGAACTAGTTAGAAAAAGTGTGTTTACTAGATGCTTGTTAACCAAAACACCATTTCATTTGGTGCTTTAGTACATCCCCAGTGAGATGAGATGTTCTTTGGCCTTTAAAACTTCCTCCATTCACAAGTCTACACATTTTAACATTTATCATAGGACTGACTGTGCCTCATTTTAAGTTGAGAAGTAGAAGGTAAGCTGTTTCTAAAGCATGAGAATTCAGACTTTCAGACAAGAAAGGACAGAGCAAATTATAAATACTAAGTAATAAATGGTATTAGACTACAAACACAGCAAAACAGTAGTGAGTCTACAAATGCCACCTCTTCTTTCAGTCAAACTCAAACCTGCAGGTAGCTCTGTTGGTTTTAGGACTTTTATCTCCCTTAGTCTTGTAAGAACCTGTTTGGTTCCCATGACAAGTCTTGCAGCAATCCCCAGAAAAGCCCCAAAAGTTGGCATGGGAAATTGTGTGAAGTTGTATTAGCAGAGGTGAACGTTACTTCGTTAGATAAAAACGCGTACTTGAATCTTAGCTCACCATCCACGCTCTTTATTGAATTGTATTACAGGAGGCAAATTGGTATTAGTACCAATTTGCTAAAGTACAACATAGCTAAAGTACTAGCTATGTTGTATCTGCTAGTCATAAAATCGGACCACTTAATTGCTAAAGCAGTAGCCAGGTACATTTTTTAGTGATTGGTTTAAACTGACCAAATAATTTTAATGTACTCATCATGTTCTTAGAAAGTGGCAACTGGCACTTTTACTCTGCTTCAATGCCAAGAGCTTTTTAGTACATGCAAATGCTTTCCTTCCAGTCCTCTACACTCTAAAATTTTGTCAACAGAACTGATGCATTTACCTTTTCTGCTGTAGTATTTTATCTGTTTTATTACAGCACACTGAGCCATAAAGAATTCAGGTTCATCTATCCAGTACTGCCACTTTGCATGATATTTTGTGGTAAGCATTGGTTTCAAGTGTCTTGCAGCCTCCCCTGTGTATTGTTTTTATGCAAAGAGAGACTGTTAATTGTCAATGCAGGTATTCAACAAAGGATTCTTACAACTGGCCTAACCTTTTCTTACAGCTGGGTTAAAAACCAAAACAAAACTTCGAGGAACAGCAAGTGACTGAAATACAGACGGAGAATTCTTAGCACAGATAAAAGTACTTCCTGCAGAAAAAATAGGAAAACTGCTTCAGAGACTTCTAACTTTTTAGCACTTCCACCCTTACACTGAATTTTGTTCCTTGGCTCCTTTGTAGTAATTTTCCACCCACTTCTCTCAGGTGTGCCTGACAAATGCCTTTGAGCATGCAAAAAGTAAAATTATCCTTTTCTAGATTCAGGTGTGTTAGTAGATGCTGGTTTTCTGCCTGCTTTTGATCAACCATCAACTGTAGGCTGCTTTCCACAAGTTTCAGAGCTGTTAGTGTGATAGCTTTTTCCTTCAGGCACAACAAGGGGGAATGTTAGAGTAGGAATAAGGTCCCTAAACTAATATGGTTAACTTATTAGAGAATCTGCCTGCAGTTTGAACTGGAGAGCACATTGCTTTTGCTGACTAGGACTTTCCTGATGCTTTAAAAGTTTCTGTTAAAGTATTCACTTATCTTTTTTCCTGGTTTGTGGGTTCTTTTATTTTAAACACAGAAACGAGCCTAATAAGGAAGTATTTTGTATTTTACAAAACTAGGTATTAACTACCGTAGTGTGCGTATAGGAAAAGTAAACTCATTCTGTAAAGTCTAGTTACGCAGGAGAGATTAAAACTTGTGGAACGTGAAGTTGTATAGCTTTAGTTTAAATACAGGTTCAAAACAGATGAATCAATTGAAATGGTTTAGAATAGCAAAACAGGTTAAAGAAAATTACGAAAGTAAATCTTATTTCAGTAATATTGCGCTCTGCTGAGATCACATATGTAGTATGTCTTGGTTTAGTTCAGTGTTCAGTTCAACAGCAGATTTAAGATGAACCAGTTCTGCCTCACACGCAGAAAAAGATCCAATCAGACCACTGTTTTTTGTTAATATCCCACTTAACTGTCATGTCTGTAAGAGAATCAGGTCATATCCTCAGTTTATCAAGAGGTGATTCTCATCTGTTTGGATACTTTGGTAAAAAAATTCTGGTAGCTCAGTGGTTACACCAAGGTCTTTTAAGTCGGTCAAAACATTATAAATAAAAGCAGGAAAAAACCCCACATGAATTTCAAAGTAGTTTCCAAGCACACTTGAAGATAAGCTAAGAGCATTTCACAAAGCAGTAAAAAAATGCCTATAATAAAATGTTTCCACTCCTGTTCAAACCACAGACTAAGTAGAAGAGCAGACCAACTGAAGACTAATTTAATGTACTGGTTACTGCCTTCTGAAACAGGCCGGACTTGTTTCTTGTCACTCAGTAAAGATGGTCACAGAGCTACGCTGCATAAAATATTTCCATCTCCTAAGACTGACACGCACGACTTAATACAGGTTTCCAGGCTGGCTGCAATGTGAAGCTGTCTTCTGTGCCAGGTTCATCTAAGTTGTGGTTGTGAGAAACAGGTTTATACAGCTATGTCCCACCAGGATAAATGGATTTTCCTGTTATTAGCAATTTCAATAAAAGAGAGAGAAGGGGCAGGGATGGTAGGTGGGATAAGATGGACAAGTAAGCTTTTCCAAGGATAAGTAGCTCAAAATAATAATAAGAGAATGCTGTAGCTTTCAACATGTTGGAGAAAAAGAATACCACAGCCATACCAAAGCACACGTAGTTACTATTTATTCTGGCTCTGCTTGGACATGCGTGAATCAGAACACAACAGCAAGCTGCCACATACCATTCATTCAAACTACTGAGTGGACTATTTTTCCCCCAAGAAATTAAAATTAAGCTCTGAAGAGACAAAACACTGGCTTTTGAAATCCTACTTCTGTACTTCAAAAGACAGGCATGGGCTTAACTGTTAAATCCAAAAGTTCATAAGGTTAAAATCTAATCTTTGACTTTCTATTTAAAGAGTAAAGACTGAAAGAACACTGTAGAAAATACCTTAAAGCAAGGCATTGCTATCAACTGAGTAATGGTTTGCAGTGAAGTTGTGGTACTTTCAGAAATACTGCGTGGAACTGTTAGTGTTCGTTTATCTCCAAAACTAACTCGGATGTTTCTCTAGGATATTCTTTGAAACACCTGAAAGCATGGAAGAAATCTGCAGCAAGTTTCCTGCTTTTATCCAACTTGCTCCCAGCCCTGTATACAGGCTTGGTTCACCAGCGAGGCTCTCTTGATGTTATGAGTCACATACAGCAGCTCTGTAACAACGCTGACCGGTCACAAGCTTTCGTCTTCATGATGATGCCGTGCCACTCTACTCCATTTTACAGGTATTAAAATAGTTCGCAGTGTACTGCATAAAAATCCATACATTTAAGCAGAAATTAAGATACTTTTTCCTAAGTTTAATAAATTGAGGTGGATATATACTTCCTGTATTACAGGAAGAGTTTTAATTTTTCAGTTCATTCAGAATTAATAGGAGAAAGAAGCCAAATGTTTATTCCACAGGAAAAAATTCAGCATCTAAGCTTCATTCAGTTTTTGTAAAATAGCTTTGTATGAGTCCTCTGTTTGTTACGACTTCTGAAAGTAGTTCATGCTGCTTCATTCTGGTCACTTTTGTAGCAAAACTACTAATTGTTACAGTCAAAATGTATTAGTTTTACCTTTACTTCTGCTGCCATGGAGTAAAGAAATGTAAAATTAAAGCACACAATGACTGCAGTCACTATTCCATAAAGTTTGCAGTAGATCTTGGCAAGTAAGCAGAATGTTAAAGCAGACACAAACAGTGAAAAGTACCTTGTAAAGAAACTGATGTTACACAGATGGTATTTTTACTAAAATAATTCTGCTTTCTGTGAATGCTAACAACATAGTGACAGCAGTTTGGAGCCAAATCCACTTGTTCTACTTTTGCTTTCATATGAAGAATATGACTCTGGGGGGGGAAATAATTATTCCATTTTGGTTTTGACTGAGGTATCTTTTAAGTGATGAGTCATTTCAAGTCTTGGATATTGGTCTGTTTATCCTGATGTGTTTGTTTTGTTTTTCTCCCTAGTCATGTTCACTGTCCTCTAAAAATGAGATTCCTTCAGTGTCCCCCAGACCTAACTGGAAATGAGAGCTACGTTGATGAAGCAGATGTATTTTACTCCAATCCACTTGGCTGGCTTAACAAGGAGTTTCACAATGATACATTACTACCCAGTCACTTGATCTTCTTCAGTGTGCTAGAACAGGTATGGTTAGTTGCAAGATGAAACAAACTAGTTTTGAGGTCAGGTTACAAAATAAATTAGGGGAGAGGTAAGATTTTTGAAAATTGCTGTCCCCAACTTCTTAAAATGCAGCCTAAATTAAAATTGAGCCCTGCAGTACATATACAGTAGAGATACCATTCCAGTGATACATACTAAACATTCACATATCCTCTCTCTCCTCTGTGTGAATTCTATATACCATATATACCAGTAATGTTTTACAGCTCCTCATGCCATAATAAAACCCATGTGTGGTCTGTTCCCAGAACCATACACAGCGACGACAAGCAAAAACGTCTGCTGTCAGGCTACCTTTTCCCCTCAGTTCTTTTATGAAGTCCATGTGCTCAGTTTCTGGTGAATATCCACTCTGGACAGGATCAAACAGGATAGGTACCTCTTTTTTTAGCAGTCATTCCTAAAATAAAGGATAAAATTTCCAGGGGACAGTTGAATTGATGATTTTAAGACGACTTTGAAACGCTATTCTGATGCTCCCAACTACATTTTCTGACTGTGGAAACTAATTATGTTCTTTTACAGGAAGTATCATCATTTCTAACTTTAAGGGGCTATGAGAAAACAGCCGCGGTCTTTCACACTCATGTACCTCAAGGACGAGTTGGAAGCCACATCTACGTGTACAGGAAAAAAACCTGAAGGGAATCATACCTGAAGATCAGTTTCTAGACTTAAGACCTAATGAGATCAGTTCTCATAGCAGTACTATGCTTAGAAGATCTTGTACTGCAGAAAGGAGAGAGTAGTGAGTCTGAAACCGGGTAAGTCAAACGGGGAAGTCTGATTAGGCAGCCGCTGGCTGGCTGAAAACACATAAACCTCTTCCTGAAGGCAACTTCAGTAGCAGTAAGGCAGTCTGGGGGTGTTGCCCTACCTTACAACACTACAAAACATCAGGAAGACCAACGTTACCATATGAATACGTAAGCAATAAGAAATTAGACAGGACTGAACCATTTTTGTAAAACTCTACAGCTATGTTAGGTTTGTTTTATAAATAAAGACTTTTACCCACAATGTCTCTTTATTTTTCTTCTACAATATGCAGATATGCAAGACATTTCAAGTGCTGAAATCAGCAAGCTGATTAGAATGCATCACAGCAAATGCTTCACAATTCAACAGGCTCCTGAACAGCCCCCAAGACGAGAAGCAAGTATAAGATTACAAAACACTAACAAACACATTACCGTGATGTAGACCTATTTTTTGAAGGATGAGATGAAGTTAGTATATCAAACACTGGTACATTATGCATGACTCAAGCTTGAACTATACTAATGGAATGCAGTTAAGCATATTTTTCATACACAAGTCTTTGCATGCCTAGTTTCTGCAACAATACTGCTGGCACCCACTATCATCACTTCCAAAGAACAGTTAAAGCAACAGTACGGATTTCTGCAAATTAGAAAGCTTGACTTCTGGCTTTTAACAAAAATGTGTAAAAAAATCAAATCATTTAGAGAAGAAACTTGCATCTTGCTGCTTCGTTGAAAACCAAGTAGTTTCCGGAGACGATGCGAGTTATTAATTCTAATCTCTTTACCATAAATTACTCAATATTTTGGATCAAAAGGTAATTGCCCCAATTCTATTTCAAGGTTTGCCATGTGTCTTCCATTAGTGCGACCATGTTTATGCCATTTACCTTCTCTTTTATTACGGTGGTACTTCTGAGCTTGTCTTTCATGTCTGGAATTTTCAGTTTGTGTAAAAGGCCTTTTAGGTCGACTGCAAGGAGTAAACAAAAGCTTATTACTACTCTTACAAAAGCATCCGTCAGAGCATTTTGAAACACAGTTACATTGTCAAGAACAGCTTTTAACATGCTGAGTTTGACTGAAGAGAAAACAATTAAGTGGTCCTTTGTAAGCAAAATGGGAGGGATTTGCTTATTTAAACCATCAATAAAATAGTATATTTAAAATAAATCCTTTCTAAAAAGAAAAAAGCTCTGCAGCTGGTTGCCTGGGGTGCTTTTTAGAATAAAGCCAAGTCAACAGCTGTTTGTTATCCCTACTGTGATACCCGGGTGAGATCTCAATCTGTTTTTTAGCTATTCTGTTACATTCTGCTCTACAAAAATCATGAAAACTTTACAGACCCTTAGGAAAGCATGCTTTGTGTAAACATGGGCGCCTCACAGTTTTCATGTACAATATTTCTAGAGAGAGGGGGCACTGACAAGACACTTGCTCACCTGATGACAACAGTCCCATTATACTGCTCGGTGATAGCAGGTGAGCATCTCTAGCCCTCTGCTAAGCTAAGGTTATTTTCATCCTCAGAATCATACAAACTTCTGTATAATACTACGAGTAAGCTAATTTGAAATGCTGATTTTCTGCTCACAGAAGTGCTCAAAATTCAGTGTATTAATTAAAAATTAAAGTTCATTTTTGTAATATATTAATAAGTATAAAAAAAACCCTCATAAAACTTATGTTGTGTGCTTGCCAAAACTACACATTAAAAGGGCTACTTGGTAGCTGATAACAGGAGTCTCATCCTCACGGTTCAACTTTTAATAGACAGTGCTATCTCACATAATATTTAGTAACCCCAAAGCAGTTACCTATTCAGACTTCCTGCTACAATAAAACACATAAAATAATACAAGTCCAAAAGAGAAACCTGACTGAAGAACCACACCTTAATCTGAATACTAAATAAGCTTTGAAATGCATACCAGCACAGGGAAAAGTTCTGTTATGGCTACAAAGACAACTTTTTGTGTATTATACATTAGTTAATAGATCACATTTTTTTTTCCCTTACCCAATCAGAATAAACATTAGCACAAGAGACTATACAGCCAATTTTGTAAGAGCAATGATATTAAAAGCCACATAAAAATATATGCTTTCCCACAAGAGCAAGTTTCACACAAAGTATTATGGCTGCTTGCTTAATTTCCTTTCACCAATGTCTAGGTAGTAGAAACAGTCCAGTGTAACTAGCTCCACTGGGGCCAGCCAGGCAGCACACCACAACTGCTCTGTAGCAGCCCTGAGAATACCACTAGATACAGGAAAGTAATGCAGGAAACCATTCATGCCGAGGACCTTCGTAAGCAAGTTTGAACAAAATTCAGTCAGCATCAGGATCTGAACTGAAGCCTACCGTGTGAGTAGCTCTGCTCTGGGCACACACAGTACTATAATAAGCTAAAAGCAAGTAGTGCAATTCTTGAAAAGCCAGCAGGGACTATACCTGCCAAAACGGGACTCTAAGACTGCTCAAATACACCCAAATACCTTCTCATTCAGGGAAGGACAACAAAGAAGTCCTAGTTAACACTTCTAAACTAGTTACTCACTCCATCAGATAGACAAGAATAGCTATCCAGTGTAAAGTAATCCTACTTGCAGTTACACAGCTTTCTAAAGAACTCAGTAGAAACACCAGATTGTGCTACATACAGTGGACCTGTAGCGCCTCCCAAACCTAACACCACACACAAGTGATGTCTAAGTTGCTACAGATCCACTTTAAATCACACAGTCGAGTATCTCCATTGAGTCCTTCCGAAAGTCTTCAAGCGTGCGTGTGTTTATATACATACATACACTAAGATGCTACAAGGCCACCTGTTAGAACAAGGACACTGGTCTTTACAAAGACTACTTCATTGTGTTAACTCAGAAAACATGGAAACAAACCTGGGTCCATATTGGGGTGAATTATCATAATGAAAGTAGTATTTGTAGATGTATTTGTCCAAATCCTCAAAAACCTTTTCTTTGTTATTTTGGTATTCCTTCATCTCTTCCAGGTAATCCTTGACATCGTTCACAAAATCAGTGAACAGCATCTGGTCATGTATAAACAGCCCATTATGAAAAAACTTATTGATGAAATTTTCTAGTTCTCTCCAGTGATGAAAGTTATGTACAACTTGTTGCAAATACTTTCTCATTAGCCGATTAAATTCGTCCACCCTGATAGGATCCGATACTCTGTTAAAGAGGCTAATGAATTCTTGATGAGCACATTCAAAAATACCAGAGCAGCCCTTCAGGACAAACTGATGTTTTCTATTACACGAAGGATCATTGAGACACTTCTGTGAATCTGTGCTTTTTTCAAATGTTGTAAACTGGTGTTTTCTTCCATCTCTGAATTCTCTGGGCATGTTGGGTCCCCTGTGATGCACGTGCTTCAGGTTCTCGTAAGAGTTATGCTCTCGGAAAAAAGTTCGAGCTTTCTTGTTTGCCTCGTGTCTTCTATCATTTGACTTCCTCTCCTTTTCATCAAATATGTTTTTTGTGGTATCTTTGAAGTGTCTGAACGTAGACTTTACAGAATCAGAGAATTTTTTCAGGTTTTCTTTCACTGCTTCTTTAGCCTGCTTAATCTTTTCTTTATGGTGTCTTACGAACTCTTTTGTGGAATTTTTCATCGCATCAAAAGTTTCTTTAACTGAACCAAAAAAGGATTCCTTTGATTTCTTTTTAGTCTTACTCTGCCCTTTAGCACCTTTCTTTTGTCCCTTTTCATTCATTTCTTGTTTTTCAGTTTGGTCTTTCGCTTCAACGTACAGCTTCTCCCACAGGTCAGAGCGCTGTTGCTCAAAGTTGAGCTTTTTTTCCAGTTCTGCTAGTCTTCCTCGCAGAGTTTCTATTTCTTGATTTTCTCTCAGTGTATCATCATCAGCACTGTCAGGTGTGTGACGAGAACTTAACTGTTCCAGTTCTTTCTTTAGAGCTTCCGTAACGTGACGTTCTTTGTCCAGTTCTCTCCTTAACATCTGTGCCTCTGCAAAGAGTGTTTCCTTTTGCCTAAGGAAGTTGTGGTTTCTTTGCTTTTCCTCTTCCAAATGCTCTCTTAGTTTCTGGTTTTCCATTACAATAGTCTCAGTGCTAGTACCTTTGTCTTCTAAGTTTCTAATTTGTTGTCTTAGCTTCCTTAATTCTTCCTGAAGTGAGGCCAAAGCTTTCTCTTCCTTCTCTAGAGATTCTCTTAGGTGCTGATTTTCTGCAGCAAGACTCTTTTTTTGAGATTCAAAGGATTTCTTCTCCACTTCAGTAGACGTCAAACATGTGGCAAAATCTCCCTTGAGTAACTACCACAAACAAAAATAAAACAAGCAAAATGCTGTAATTAGAACTGTTACCATTTCAGCTAGAAAGATGAAAGACCAAGGTAGCCCAGACAGAGGTGACTTGTCATTTGCGATGTAGTGACACATGCTGCAGCAAGATAAAAAAGCAGAGCTAGTTTGTTTATCTCCAGTATACACACAAACACTTTCTTGGCAACAAAGACCAGGTGAGAACCTCTCCCTTCCAACCAGAGGCCATTGCCCCTCAACTTGTATGGGTTTAACTAGCTGCAGGTACATTCATTCATCCACCTTACGTGGAAATGTTGGTTCATGTTCGGCAACTGAGGTTTACAGATTACAAAACCAAACACATGAGCAGAAACAAGGGCATTCAACAGTTGGGGCAGAAATTCAGGAACTGATTTTGAACTAAAATTTGCTGCTGAAAATCCATGTTCATGTAACTACATCTGAACACAAAAGGATCTTCCTGGTCTCTTGGCATCCTTGACAAACTCCAGAACTAAGCATATCCAATTACATATAAACAGTGCTAACAGCACCGTAAAAGAAAACTTAAAAAAAAAACCACACACACACACACAAAGCATTCCCTAATCTTCTTTCTGAATGATCTAGCAGTGAAAAACTAAAAGTACAGTTCAAGTATTTAAAAAGTTAACCACTGACCATTCAGAAAGCAAATCCAGTAAACCTGCAGGTTCAACCTGCAATAGGTTTTTACCAGCATGTTCTACTTCAGCTGTCTTCATTAACGACAGCCTGGCATTACATCTCAGGGAAAGAGACAGGCCCTGTGTCCAGGTAACTCCTAGACTACGTACATAAAAACCAGTACGTTTAAACATTTCAGTAACTCCATCAGAATACAAACTCTTTGTCAAGAATTCAGGGGAAAGAAAAATTACATTCTCAGAAAGAATTTACTAACGAAAAAATGTAATGGATTTGTGTGATAAATTTCACCTATAATGACAGAATAACCCAATGACATCCAGCGAAACTCACACCTACCCCCACTTTATCTCCTTGCTCTTGTTGGCACTGGTAAAGGTCATCTTTCAGGTCCTTTAATTCACGTGCCTTTGTCACCAACTGCTGACGTTTCTGGATCTGTATTGTGCCTACAAAGATAAAAAGCTTTGTTTTGATAGCCTGACTGACATTAAATAGAGGAACAGACAAACCTAAACATCATCTTCATTTTCCCTGCAAATCCAAAAGCATTCTTACTTTGCAACTTCTGCCCAGTACTTACTAGTAATTCGTTAGCTGTAACCAAAGATTATAATATCAGCTTGTTACATATTGGTTGTTTCTTCCAAGGATAATTTCTCAAAAAGACCCCAAAAAATTCACTATTACACTGTCTTTTATTTGATGATAACACATGAAGGAATTTTGAAACACTACATAGAAATAAAGTTAGATACAAACCAACAAAAGTTACGCAGAAAAGGATACGTGTGATTTATTTGTTGTCATTTTTTAGTAACGTGCAAGCCAATCAGGAGAAAAAGGAGACCAGTAGCCCACGCGTTATCTATTTCTGAACTACAGCTTTTACTGTGAAGTTACATGAATAAGAGGGTATTAGCACAGTATTTAAACTTTCATGCAGTAACAGAATTATTACACACTGCTCACAAAGCAGCAAGTACTTGCAGACCCTATCTCGTCATTCTTATCTATGAGTGAAGGCTAAAGAGTAAGCAAACATCGTATCTTTCAACTGTCAGGTAAAGGCTGACACACATTTTGTTTCCTAACGAAATCTCTTCATTGTGTTAGCCACCAGCCTCTCCTGTCAAGCAGAACTTGTTTACTGGTACTTCCCTACCTACCCACATGTTCTGTAAATCCTGACACTGGTGTAGTTTTTATTCCTTTGCTTTTAAAATTCTCTTCAATTGACCCTACAGCAGATGGCAACAGCAAGTTTTAGGTATTTCTTCAAAGCCAATGCAGTGTATGCAGTTCTATTTCTGTATTTAAAGTGGAGGGGGAGGCATTATTAAACAGGAGAAATTCTATAAATACTATTACACTATTATACTATTGTGCTCTATTAATTTCTATTTAATGTATTGTCAGGTATGAACTTAAAAAACAGGCAGTGCTCCATTAAACCAGTTGAACCTCGATAGTTAAACTGAGTTAATAGTAAAATAGTAATAGTTAAATGACCTATTAGAGAGCAGTGTAGGGG